CTCCTCCTCCTTCTCCTCCTCCTTCTCCTCCTCCTCCTCCTCCTCCTCTTCCTCCTCCTCCTCCTTTTCCTCATGTTCCTCTTTTCCGTTTCCTCCACCTCCCCTTCTTCCTCCTCCTCCTTCTCCCCGCCCTCGGCCGAGGCTCGCGAAGCTCTCGCGCGCCACCCGACTTCAGATCCTGACTATCGGGCGTCGGGGAGCATCGGCGGTGTCAGAGCAGAGAGAGAGAGAGAGAGAGCGAGAGAGCGAGAGAGAAAGAGAGAGAGAGAGAGAGAGCGCGAGAGAGAGAGAGAGACCAAGCCGTGGATCTCCCGACGGGGGGAAGGATCCAGAATGCGCAGCCTTTCCGACCTAGCTGCGGACCCCCCGACGAGAGGGGCGATCCCGATGGCGTGGTCTTCTCCGGCAGTGCCCATGTCCGAGGGCTCTCTACGTGCGGGTCCTGGCCTTCCTGGCCCAACCCCGCGGGTTACGCCAGGGCCTCGTCGGGAAGCTCATGCACGACCCTCCTGTGCATGCGGGCCCCGCCCGGGCGGTGCGGATTCCTCTCGGCCGCAGGGGCAAGCTGGAGGGGCCGTTCCTCGGTGAAGCTCTGCCTCCCCCTCCTCGTGCTCCTCCACCTTCCCCTCCTTCTCCTCCTCCTCCTCCTCCTCCTCCTCCTTGTCCACGTTGTCCTCCTCTTCCTTGTCCACATTATCTTCCTGGTCCTCCTCCTCCTCCTCCTCCTGCTCCTCTCCCTCCGACTCTCCTCCTCCTCCTCATCCTCCTCCTCTGCATGTTTACTCCTCCAAATTCCCATGGCCGTTCCCTCCACCACCTCTTCCTCCTCCTGGCCCTCCCCCCTCTTCTTCCTCCTCCTCCTCTCCTCCTCCTACTCCTCCTCCTCCTCCTCCTCCTCCTCCTTCTCCTCCTCCTCCTCCTCCTCCTCCTCCTCCTCCTCCTCCTCCTCCTCCTCCTCCTCCTCCTCCTCCTCCTCCTCCCTCCTGGCCCTCATTTCCCCATATGGGCGCCGACAGCGGCGAGGACGGCGGCGGTGGCGGCGGCGGCGGCGGCGGACGCCGCGCGCGACGGCGGCAGGCGACAGCCGCCGCGGTGCCGCAGGGCGGCGCGCCCACCGCCTTCGGGCAGCCCTCCGGGCGGCGAGCGCTCCCCGCCCGAGGAGGACCGAGGCGGAGGAGGATCGAGGAGGATGAGAGCCGAGGAGGAGTGTCGAGGAGGATGAGGGCCGAGGAGGAGGATCGAGGATGAGGGTCGAGGAGGAGGAGGGTCGAGGAGGAGTGTCGAGGAGGATGAGGGCCGAGGAGGAGGATCGAGGATGAGGGTCGAGGAGGAGGAGGGTCGATGAGGAGGAAGGAGGAGGATGAGGGCCGAGGAGGAGGATCGAGGATGAGGACCGAGGAGGAGGAGGGTCGAGGAGGAGGAAGGAGGAGGAGGAGGAGGGTCGAGGAGGGGGAGCGAGGAGGAAGATCATCGCGCCTCGCGCGTCGCGGTCTGGGCCGGCGCGGCTGCCCCTCTCCAGGGGGGCGGCGCCATGGCTCGCGCATTGCGGGGCGCGATGGGCGATGTTTTGGGTGACCTGCGCACCGCACAGGAGCATGCTACCGCGTAAGAGCAGCGACAGGCAGCGAGGGATGGAGAGGTGGGGGGCCCGCGTTGGGCGTCGGCTCTTGCGTTTCTGCTCCTCTCTCTCTCTCTCTCTCCGTTTCGTTGTCATCAGGCCTCTTGGGGGAGGGGGGAGAGGAGGGGGAGAGCCTCGCCGTTGCGCTTGGCTGCGGCTCGAGAAGCCAGCCAGGATGGGCCTCAGGAGGGGTCCAGAGGCCCGCGATGCCCAGCCTCCCGAGCGTGCTGGTGGTCGCGGCGCTGCTGGGATGCGGCGCGCAGGTGTCCGCAGTGGACGCGATCGCCCTCCCAGACCCTGCGCCGCTAAGTCTTCCGCCGGCGTTCGCCTCGCACATGGTCCTGCCTGCCGGCGCGCATGTCACCGTCCAGGGCCGAGCAGGGCACGGAGCCGGTCACCGTCGTCGCGAGGCGTGCGTCGCCGGCGGACGGCTTGGCCACTGCGAAGGGTGACGAGTTTGACGGCAGGTGGAATGCGACTCTGCCCGCCATGGATGTTTCCATCGATCCAGTGGAGTTCACCATCACGTCGTCCACGGCGCAGACCACTCGAGAAGACGTTCGCATCAGCGACATGTGCATCTGCGTCGGCGCGGGCAACATGGGCTCGCCCGTGAGCAGCCTGGACAACAACGAGACCAGGGAGGCCCTCGGGCTGGCTTTGAAGCTGGGCGGCAGCCTTCGCATCATGCGGGTCGAGCCAGGCCACACGTCGAGGGAGAGCTTCGCTGCCGAAGTGCCGTGGCAGCGGGCGGAGCCGCTGGAGGGCGGGTCGACCGCCAGCTTCAGTGCGCTCTGCTATTACTTCGGGGCGGCGGCGCTGAAAGCCCGGCCGACCGCGCCCGTGGGGCCGGTCCAGGCCACGGTGGAGAACGGCCAGAGCCGGCAGTGGGCTCGGGCCGAACAGAAGGGGGGGATAGGGAACGGGGGGGGTACGAAATCTGCTGCGTCCAGCTGGTTTCGGCCCCGCCGCCGGGCCCATTCGTCGATACATGGGCGCCTCCCGGCGCCGGGAGGCGCCGGGAACATCAGCTACGTGAGCTGAGTCTCAAACCCCCTTCTTGCTATCCCCCCCTTTCGCCCGGCCCGATGGGCGCACCCGGGCTCCTTCGAGAAGTGCGCCGAAGTCGCCCTCGACGGCCGCGAGGCGTCGATCTGCGGGGACTCCATGCTGAAGCCCCTGTCTGCGCCGAGGGGCGCGTGCGCGCGATCCTCAGCGACCTGGAGGTGCCCTCGACCTGCGTGTCGGTCGGCTCGATGGGCCCGACGCCGCAGCGGTGGCGCCCGGAGGGCCCGGAGGGCGGCGTGCCCGCCGCGACGCGCAATTATCAGGAGAGGAAAAACACACAGACACACTGAAGCCTCGCTTCCCCAGGAAATAGGGGAAGATATGGGGAGTGGGGGGGGGAGACAGACACCCCGAAACTATGGGAAGATATGGGAACATATGGGAAGTGGGGGGGGAAATAGGGAAAATAGGGGAAAGCATAGGGGAATCTTCTTATGTGTGTGGATTTATTTTTGTGTGCCCCCTTCGAATTAGGCGCCGTGCCCCGCCCGCCCCAAGTTCGCGGGCGGCAGGGCGGGCTGGGGCCTCGGCGGGGGGGCGGCGACGGCGCCCGGGCCTGCCCTCGCTGGCGCGGCGGCCGCGTCGACGACCCTCTGCGCTCCGATGCCCAGCGACCCCTGCGGCGGCTCGCCCTGGCAGGCGCGAGGAGGCCCGGCGCGCCCTGCTCCGCGCGGGGGCCCGCTCCCGGGCCGCGCCGAGGCGGGCCCTCCTCGAGGCCGCCGCGCGCGTGCCATGGCGCGCGTGCAGCGAGCCTGCGGGGCGCCTTCCGCTTCGGCCAGCGGGGGCGGCGGTCTCGGAGGGTTCGCGCGCAGGACCTGCATCCGGATCGTCTGCGACGGGGCGATGTCAGGGCCCCGTAGACCCGGACACGCTAGACCCGGACACTCAATATCCCTCGAAACCAATTTTTCCAAACGGCGGCACGAACAAGATACTGCACTGCAGCATTTTCAGAATTTTCCCGGACACAGGCCCCAAAAGCCTGCAAAACCCCCTTCAACCCGGACGCACACCCGAATCCTGCAGTGCAACAAACAAACAATGCACGGGTGCTGAAAACCGTGACTTTGCAGGAAAGGATGTCGTTCCCTTGGTTTTCCGTGTCC